ACACAGCTTCCACTTCCTCCTTCATTACTGTAGGCTCCTGCTCATATGGTACTTCCTTAAATTTTTCGGTGTCAGTTCTTTTTGGTGTCGTTCACAGAACGATCTCAGAGCACAGGGTCAGCTGGCAGCGGTGTGGAGGACGGAGCAGGAGTACCTGGGACAGCGAGTGTGTGTTCCTTCCAAACGGCGAGGGGGTGCTGACGGTTGAGGAATGTCCCCAGTGTGCGTGTGACTTACGTGTGTGGAAACTTGAACTGGTGCTAGTTCTGCTTTGTGAGTTTTCAACAACTACAACAGCACAACATGTCAGTTTATAAAATCCTCTCAGGCAGCAGCCCTGGCCTGGCCCGTGTGCTGTCCCAGGGGCCTGAATCCATCTCACACACAGCTCCAGTGTGTCTACTGGCTGTGTGTGGCCAGTGTCCCCGGAGTCTGCGGGGAGGGTGGAGCATGTTGTGGCCTCATCCCGGGACAACTCACAAGGATGATATGGAGTGATGATGGTGAGAACCCCTCGGGGCCTGTGCTTTGTTGAAGGGACTCTGGGACCAGGGCATGGGGATCACATTCCATCATCAGTCACAGAACGCTGTTACCTGGAGCGCTCTGTCCTCCCTGGGACTTTGTGGCACTCACAGGACCACAGAGTGACTTTGCTCCGTCAGTCCTGACACACTCCAGCCAGGCCTCCTGTCTGCCAGCACCTGTGGGGACACAGACCTGGGGCCGCTGGGGGTTGCTGTGTCAGAGACCAGCCGTGGAGCACCTGGACACTGAGGGCTAGCTCGCCTCGTGTGGGGCAATGGGAATGCTGACATGCACTGCTGCCCCGTGTCCCCCTCTGCGGGCTCAGCTGCTGCCTCGGGGCATGGGCTGGGGTCCTGCCTTCACAGGGGTAGACGGGCTCCCAGGCATGCTTGTGAAAGCCCCGGAGCTGTCAGTGTTTACACAAAGCCTCCTGCCCCCTGAGGGGCAATAACAGGGCCCCTTTCCCAGTACTGTGAGGGCTGTGGAGCCGTTGAAAGCCATCTGAACGACTGCCCGGTGAGCACTGGGGTAGAAATGCATCCCACAGGGTTCGCCGTGTCTGATGGTTTGGAAGTAGACCACCAGCCCTTTTTTTCAGGGTACCCCGGGAGAGCCTCAGCTCCCACTATTTTATTAGCAGCCCAGAACTTTAGTGGTTTCATCTCCTTCACTTTTCCTCCGTGTGAATCCCCGAGAGAACATGACCTGAGAAATCATGGGGTCTCTACCTGCACAGAGAAAACTGTGCACCGTACAGGTCCTAAATACAGACTTCTAGCCCATAGGGACAGGCGGCAAGGGGCCGGTAGGTCCCAGTCAGAGTTGCAAGGCTAGAGGGACTGTGAAAGGGGGCTGGTGAGGTGCTTGAAAACGGAGTTAATGCTCACTTATTAGTCAGAGGTGGGGTGTGTGACTGACTCACGCCACACTCGCTGCTCTGTCTCCTGTGTGATTGCTGTGTCTCTGTTGCTGGCAAGTTGATTCCAGCTGCTCTCGACCCCTAGGACAGAGCAGAACTGCCCACCCGCCCCGGGGTTCCCGGGACCGCAGTCCTTTCTGAAGCAGAAGGCCTCGTCTCCTGTGGAGCTGCTGTCAGGCCGAGTCACTGAACTTTGGTCAGCAGCTAGTGTGTGGCCGCGGCGTGCCCCAGCTTCCCAAGGTTGGTCTGTGGCAGGTACGCCTTCTGGAGCTCTGGTGGTGCGGCGGCTAGCGTGCTCAGCTGCTCATTATATGGTTGGCGGTTTGAGCCCACCAGTAACTGGGAGAAAGATGCGACAGTCTATTCCTGCAAAGGTGACAGCCTGAGGCCCCACAGGGTCACGGCGAGTTAGAATCCACCCACACTGATGGCAAGTATAATTTAATTTATAGAGAGATTTTAAGCAGAGCTTGACAACAGTATTGGCTGTGTGAGTCACTGTCAGGCGACACTGTGGGTTGTGAAGGGTCGCTGAGTGTTCACCTTGGGTCTTTCCCCTTCCCTCTTCCCTTCCTCCCTCTTCTTTCTTTCTTTCCTGCCCCCCTCCTTCCACCCTCCTCCCTCCATCTACTCCTCCCTCTGTCCTCTCTCAGCTCCTTCCTCTCTCCCTCCTCCCTCTCCTCCTCCTCCCCTCCCTCTGTCCTCTCTTTCTCTGCTCCTTCCTGTCTCCCGCCTCCTCCCCTTCCCTCCTGCCTCCCTCCTCCCGCCTCACCTCCTCCCTCGTCTCTTTCTGTGCTCCTTCCTCTCTCTCTCTCTCTCTTTTCCACCTTTCCTCACTCCCTGTCACCTTTCCTTCACTCAACTGTGGGATATTTCTACTCAGAGGTTATAATACAGCAAACAGCTATGTTCCTGACGCCTTACTTTACCAAAGCTTGACATTTTGTCTTATTTACTTGAACTTCTAAAAATATTTTTGTTGTGATTTGAGCAAAAGTTGACAGCACATTGGTTTTCCATCCATCCAGGTACACATTCCATGTTCCGTGACATCAGTGCAGTTCCCGCATTGCGGCAGCATCCTTCCCCGCTCCCCCTGTGTTTCCCATCTCCATCCCTCCTCCTTGCCTGTGGCCTTCTGCCTGCCCAGCTCTCTCCCTGGACAAACTGCCCTCTGATTCATGGGGTCGAGTGTTGTAAGGAGCACCGCCCCCTCCCCCCCATGATGTTGATTGCTGTTGGCTGGGAGCTGAATGACTGGGCTATTTTGAACAGTGTTAAGTAAACAGAACACGAGGAGTTGTGTTGAAAGCCTTCTCCCAAGTGTGGCGTTGGTCTTTTCTCTGTCGTTGCTCCCCGAGAGCGTGTCCGTCCACCGCCTGCACGATGCTGCTGCATCTTCCCAAGCTTTTCTGGCCAGCGCTGCTCCAGCTTTGTCTCCTCTGCAGACTGTTCTCCTCCTGCTCCGTATCAGGAGCTCTGAGCATCCACAGGGCACGTTGGCCTGCTCGTCACTGCAGCTCAGGGCTCACCGTAATCAGGCAGCCCCTGCACAGTCAGGTGGCCACACGCCCTGCCTGCCTGGTGCAGCCCCATTTCTTTCAGGGAACGGTCTTGATGCCCTCTCTTGGGCTCGTGTTTCTTTGCAGAGTATATGTGGCTGTGGAACTGCTGGTCTGACACAGCACCTCCTCCCCCAGATCCCTGGCCTCCCCGCTTCACACACCAGCCTTCCTGCACCCCTTCCCCGCAGAGAAGGAATCTTGATGGAGATGTGGTTAAAGCATTAAGTTTTTAACCACTAGATCAGTGACTCGAACCTAGAACCTACCAGCCACATCCGTCAGGGTGACAGGATTGGAACCGCTGTGGGCGGTTCTGCTCTGCCCGGCAGGGCGGTGATGAACTGGAACTGGCTGGGCATCGGGGGATTGGCGTTCTCCCCTCCAAGGGATGTGGGGACATGTGTGTGGTTATCAGGTTTGGGAGGCTGGGGCCTGGGATTATGTCCAGGTGCTTCTCCATATTTGCTGCCCACTCCTGGCTTACAGTGGCTTTTAACAACGTGAATGTCCTCTTTGCTGGAAACACTATTTCCCTTGACCACGTGGGAGATGACCTCTCAGCTGACAGCACTTTTTGGGGACCCCACGTGTGCCTGCACACTAGTTTGGGGACCACGCCCTCCGTGTCAGTCAGGGAGACGTTGTGACATCTCAGCGCCATTAATTAGTTTTTGTTGCATTGTGTGCCTCGAGTCGATTCCAACTCGTATCAGCCCTGCAGGACAGAGAAGAATGGCCCCACTGGGCTCCCTGGTGGCACCGTGTTTACAGTCTTCTCTTGTTAACCAAAACGTCCGTGGTTCTAACACACCAACTGCTGTGAAGGAGAACGGTGTGGCTGTATTGGTGACACGCCTGGACACCGTGTCGGGCAGGCTCCATCCTGCACACTGCGAGTCGGAACGGCCCCCAGTGGGTGGGGTATTTCTGCGTCCACTGTGGCTGTTCCACTGTCCAGTCCCTGCTCTGGGTTGGAAGCGGAGCAGGCAGTTCTTGCACACACGCCGTGCTGTCCTGGAGACCTGCCTTTCCTTCTCTCCACTGGTCTACCCTCAGAGCAACTCAGGACTTGCTTTTCTTCCTTAGAATGTTCCAGGCTGCCGGGGAACCTGTGCTTGGTCCTTGTGAGCGGCGGTCAGGGCCACCGCGAGGTCACTTAGCAGGACGCTCGTGTCTGCTGAGTCGGTCTGACCCCTCGTGGCCCCCCATCGTTGGTTTGCGAGGCATTGAGTCTTCACGGGAGGGAACAGCCCGTCTGTCCCCTTCAGAGCTGCTTCAGGTCTGGACAGCTGACCTCTGCTAGCAGCCCGGAGCATTCCCCACTACTCCACGGGGCTTTTGTAAATGCCGAGCTGGGGATTCTCCGTTCCCGGGCTTTTCCGCTTGGTCCCGGTGCTGCCAGGTCGGGCTCAGGCCTTGGTGGGGGGACAGGAAGTGCTACTGAGTCCTTGTCCTCTTGGTAGCTGGTGGGTGGCATCAAGTCAGCCCCAAACCACAGCACCCCCATGCACAGTCCAGGCCAAACGCTGCCCAGTCCTGGGCCATCCCTGCGGCAGGGAGTGGACTGAACTTGGGGGTTTTCATTGCTGGTGGGTTGCCAGGCCTTTCTTCCAAGGTCCAGTCTTAATCTGGACACTGCACTGAAACACACTTGGCATCAGAGCCGCACTCATGCCTTTGTCTCCAGGTGTGGGTGCTTCCACCTCCACATGGAGGTACCTGTGTGCACTGGGTGCGAGTCGAACCTGGACCTCCCACATGAAGGGGAGAGCTCTTCCACTAACCACCACTGCCCTTGCTGAGGAAACCCAAAGAAGGGGGGGCTCCTGGCCAGTGGTCGCACACACGCTGGACCATGAGGCCGAGCCGCAGGCATCCAGGGGCTGGCCTGCATCATGCCCTGGGACTTCCTCCTGTAACGTCCACAGTGCTCATGGTCCCTTCTCTCCCACCCCTCCAGAGACGGTGGCCCCCAAGGTCCTGCAGCCATGTCGCGCAGTCCCACGTCCAGCGAGGACGAGATGGCCCAGAGCTTCTCAGACTACTCAGCAGGCTCAGAGACGGACAGCTCCAAAGAGGAGACCATCTATGACACCATCCGGGCCACGGCGGCCAAGCCGAGTGTGCCCAGGATGGACGAGAGCCAGGGCAACACACTGGTACTCCGCATTGTCATTGAGGACCTGCAGCAGACGGTGAGTGCCCTCTGTCCCTCTGTCCTTCAGCTAGTCCTGTGGTCCTGCTGCTGTTCAGGGTGGAGGACCTGCAGACAGTGAGCGCCCTGTGTCCCTCCGCCTCTCTGTCCCTCCGCCCCATCGTGCAGTTCTGCTGCCATGCAGGGGCCACAGTGCCCGAGCGTGTCTCTGCTCACCGTCACAGCGTGTCCTCCCCCGAGCCCACGCACCAGCGTGGCAACAGCGTGTGTCCTGTTACCAAGCCACGGCGAGGTGTTGGCGACCAGAGTGCCGTGCTCACCACAGTTGTGCTGATGGAGTTAAACCTTTCCCTGTGTTATTCGCTTTCGTTCCTTGAGATTCTGTTATTTTGGTTGTTGTTGGGCGACGTCAGATCGGCTCCGGCTCCCAGCGGTCCTGTGCTCCACAGACCACCGCCAGGTTCTGCACCATGCCATGGTCATTGCTGTGTCTGGACCATTGTTGCAGCCCCAGGGCCGTCATCTCATTGAGGGTCTTCCACACTTTCACTGACCTGCCGCCTTTCTCACTTGATGCCCCTTCTAACGACTGGCCTCTCTCGACAATATGCCCAGGTCATGAGAGACCAGGTCTCCCACCCTTCAGGAAACATGCCTTCAGGAAACTCCTGCAGCATTTATTTCTTCTAAGACAGGTTTGTTTGTTTTCCTGGCAGCCCAGGGTCTGTCCGGCACTCTCTGCCGACCACATTCAAAGGCACCAGTTCTTTGGGAGAGGTGCTGTTTAAATTTTGATGTGAAGAGGGGTCATTCAGTGAGAATTCACTCTCTTTTTCAGCCCCTTAAAAATCAATGTACTGGGTGAATTTTATAGAACGGAATTTGCTGCTTCAACATTTTTACACGTTCAATTTAGTGCTCAGATATCATCGCTGTCCCCCTTCCACATTTTTTATTCCCTTCCAAGAACTCCCTCGCCGTCTCCCCTCCTACAGCTTTGCTCTGGCAAGCAGTCCTAAAGGCACTCAGCTACTAACCAGGAGGTTAGCAGTTCGATTCCCTCAACCTCCCTCTGCTCCATAGGAGAGAGAAGAGACATCTGCCTTCGTAACAATTACAAGTTTAGAAATGCGCTGGGCCAGCCCCCTCACCTCTGCCGTAGAGGCCCCGTGAGTGGGAACTGAGTTGATGGCAGTGGCTTTGGCTTTGACTCGGAGTGTGTGGACGGAGCCCGGTGGCACAGTGGTTGGTTGCTCTCAGAAAGGCCAGCGGTTTGAACCCATGAGTCACTCTGCAGGAAGGAGTGTGACAGCAGCGGTTTTGTGTGTTGACACGTGCCTGCTTCTCCCCACCGGTCACCTGTGGGCTCCGTGCGTTTGTGAGTTTCAGTGAAGCAGAGCCCACAGTGCATGTCACCTTGTGACGCCTCCCTCGGTGCTCAGGGTCCCGCAGCGCAGTCAGGACTCCACCTGGCACACCTGAGGCTCTCACTCGTGTTGTGCCCACCTGTGGGTGGTTGTAATCAGTGCTGCAGTGAACATGGGTGGCAGACATCTGCTCGTGAGCCTGCTGGCACGTCTTAGCGTGGACATCTCAGGCAGAATTGCTGGGTGGTGGAGGTTGGACTTTTTGAAGAATGGGTCAAACTGCTTCTCATGACAGTGACGCCGTTTTACGGTCCTGCCAGCAGCGGAGGAGGGGGTCAGTGCTAATCAGTGCCATGTGGTGGTGGGACATGGGAGTGGGGTTATGGGGTGAGGCCAGGGGTCAGTGCTAATCCGAGACTGCCATGTAGTGGTGGGACATGGGGGAAGGGTTATGGAGGTGAGGCTGGGGGGCTGTCAGTGTTAATCAGAAAGTGCCATGTCAGGGTGGGGCATGGAGGTGGGGTTATGGGGGTGAGGCTGGAGGTCAGTGCTAATCTGAAAGTGCCAGTGGTAGTGGGACTTGGGGGTGGGGTTGTGGAGGTCAGGTGAGGTAGGGGGAGACAGTGCTAATCTGAGACCACCATGTGGTGGTAGTGGTGGTGGTGGGAGTGGGGGTATTTCCTGTCTTCACCTGGTTAGCCTGTGGCCAAGTCTTTGGAAAGCTTCCTTCAGACACAGCAGTGTGCCTGCCCACAGGCTGTCCACTGGGCCTCCAGAGGTAACTTCCAGGATTCCATGTCCACTGGGCACTGGGTCATCTCTGTTCTAAGGTTTTCATTCTTTGAAGAAGAGCTTTGAGGAGACGGTTGCCACAAATCCCTGGAATATAAAGTGCCTGGCTGGTAATCCCCAGTCAGTGGTTGAAGGCCATCAGCTACTCTCAGGAGGACAGCAAGGCCATGTGCTCCTGTGAATCTTGCAGACCCTAATGGGCAGTTCTGCGGGTTCACCTTGAGCTGGAATCGACTTGATGGTAGTAGATTGGGTTGGGTTGGGTTGGGTTGGGTTGGGTTGGGTTAGGTTGAAGAGGCCCAGAGATATGTAAGCCCACAGTTTCTCAGACATGTGTAAGTGAACGTCTACTCTGGGGTTATTTTAACACCAGTACAGATGATGGTTTGTAACTAGAGAAAGTGCTTTCCCTGACCTCCCTCTAACGTCAGCCTAGGATGACTCGGAAGGCTGGCTCTCTTGTCCTCTGGGCAGAGGAGGAGAACAGCTCCAAGAACCTGTTGGACAGGCCAGCACAGTGAGGGGATGGACACTGACTGTGGTCATCAGTCATCTGACTTTGGTCTTCTTACCTTCCTCTGATTGGAAACCCTGAGCAGAGCAGAGCAGAGCAGAGCCTGGGCCAGGTGCCAGCATCCTCTTCTAGCTGTGACTTTGAACAAGGTCCTTCACCTCTGTTACTCATTTGTAAGGTTGGGACAGCAGTGCCCTGCCTCCTGGGTCATTGACAGGACCCAGAGGCACCCGCTGTAGCCTGACCTTTCTAGGGTCTTTATGAAAAGACTAGTGGTTCAAATTCTCAGTTGTTTTGAAGCAGGAAAACGGGCAAGCTCGTGCCATATGGATGTACGTACAGCCTCAGAAACTCAGTAGAGCTTTGCCATGAGATGAGTAGACTTAATGGCAGTGGTTTTTGCTAGGTTATGACATAGGAAAATGTGGTTGTTTGGTGCCGTCGAGTTGACTACCACTCACAGTGACCCTCTGGCCAGTGGGTCTCAACTTGGTCCTATCCTGTGCCACCTCTTTCTGCCCTGCACTTGACTGCCTTCTCAGATTCCGCTTTGTGCCAGTTGAAGGTTGGTGGGTCCTGCATGAAGACACTCCTGGAGACGCCTTCCTAACAGCAGGCACCGCTTCTTGCCTCTGTCATGGGTTGGTCCTTCTCGCAGTAGATCAAACTCTTGTGGAACGCTACTAGTGCACACATAAAAAAACACACACACACACACACAAAAACACACAACCATTTTGAAAGCTGTGTTGCCTTGGGAAAATTTGGTGTCTAGGACCTCTCCAAAGTGCTCAGGAGCAACAATGGCATCCTAAAGACTAAGGTGCACCTGAGCTTTTCAATTACTTGCTACAACAGAAGAACTGATGCCTTTGAGCTGTGGTGTTGGAGAACAGTACTGGATATCACATGGACTGTCCAAAGGACAGACAGGTCAGTCTTGGAGGAAGTGTAGCCAGGGTGCTCACTAGAGGCAAAGATGACGTAATTTCATCTCATCTACTTCAGATACATTAGGAGGGACCAGTCCCTGGAAAAGGACACCATGCTTGGGAAAGTGAAGGGCCATTGAAAGAGAGGAAGAACCTTGACCAGATGGATTGAGGGAGTGACTCTAACAGTGGGTTCATCAGGCGATGATGAAGAGGGTACAAGATAGGACAGGGTTGAGATCCACTGGCCAGAGGGTCGCTGTGAGTGGTAGTCGCCTCGATGGCACCAAACAACCACCTTTCATACGTCATAGCCTGGCAGAACCACTGCCATCAAGTCTGTTCATCTTATGGTGACGTTCTACTGAGTTTCCGAGGCTGTATGTACATCCCCATGGCAGGATCCTGCCCATCTGTCTCCTATGAAGAAACTGGGAATTTGAACCACTAGTCTTTTCATTAACAGCACAACATATAATGCATTGCACCACCAGGTCTCCTTTAAAAAACTTCCCAAATTCATTAATTAATAAAAAAAATTAAAAAAAAAAAAAGCTTCCCAAACTCGCTGCTGTCAAATTGACCCTGACTACTCCAGCGTCCTCCCCCCACCCCACTGAGGCGTTGTGTTTGCACTGTGTATCACTTCCCTCTGGAAGCAGGAGTGGCATCCACTTCCTAAACAACATGCCTCCAGAAACTAGCTGTAGAGGGGCTTCAAGCCTTTTGTTCATAGGGTTGCTATGAGTCGTGCTCGACTCGAAGGCAATCAACAACAATCACGTCCCTAGAAAAGGAATCCCAGGTTTGTTCCCCATTGTGTTCTCACCTTGCTTCCTCCTGGTCCGTGTGCCAGCTGAGGGGGTCGGTACAGTGAAACTAACCTGTGAGGACGAGAGCAGTGATCCTGCCACTTGCCTAGATCTTTGGTTTGCACATAAACCTGGGACTGGTCACACCACACGTGTCTAACCTGCCTGGGAGGTGGGCAGTCATTTCCTCCCCTCTCATCCATCAGGGACTTCAGATTCTCCAGTCTAGCCACACTTCATCACCACTGGAAGGAGCTGAAGTGGGACTTTGGATCACAGACTGATATGAACTGACATGCTTACCTCTCTTGTTGGAATTGTTGATGCTCTGGAGAGCCTCAGCCGGGACACTCACGTGCACCATTGTGGTGGCACAGAGAGGTGGCGGGAGGAGAAGGGAAGAGTGACAACACAGTTGTATCAGTCGCAGCCCTTCAGTGGGTTCCCAAGGCTGTAAGTTTTTGCAGGAGAAGACTGCCCATCTTTCTTCTGTGGAGCGACTGGTGGACTTGAACGTCTGACCTTTTGGTTAGCAGCACCGTGCTGTCAGAGCTCCTTTAATAGGTTACAAGACAGTGAAAACAGCACACCTTTGTTTTTTCATGGATACTTAGGCTCAGTTT